CGGGGCGCTGTGATTTGGGCTTTTAGGTGCCCGGAAGGCGGAGGCACAGGTCAAAGGCGGGGTCTCTTTTCCTCCCAGGGAAGTGGCTGCCTCTGCACCAACCCCAGGAGCACCCCACATCCTCTACGGGGAGGGGCCCCCATTTCAGCGCCTCCCGGAGGAAGGGTCCAGGCCCACCTTCCTCCCCAGGTCGGAATGGCGGAGGGGGGTGCGGGCAGCACCCAAGGTCCAGGTCAGCCTCCCGCTGGGCGGGGGCGCCACCTGCAGGCCGGCTGGAGAATTACAAGGGGCTGATCCATCCCCCCCCAGAACTGTGGGGGAGGGGGTCCCAATACCCCCAGCTCTGTGGGGAGGGTGGGGAGCGTGGGGTCCCACCCCTGGCACTGTGGGGATGGTGGAGTCCCATGTCCGCACTCTGTCCCTGACACCAGCCGGGCAGACTGAGGGTTGAGGTCACCGGGCCCCAGCCAGACACTGGCCGAGCCCCAGACACAGCCGTGACCTGGCCACTCAGCCCAGCACGAGGCAGCGCTGACCCGGGACCACAGGCAGGAGACTGGCTTCCCGGAAAGGTGGGTTCTGGGAGGTTCTGGCCGGGCCGATGTGCACTTGGGGCCCAGGAGCCCGGCCTGGCAGGCACCCCCAGACCCTGTCCCACCAACCCTGCGGCTGCCTAGAGGCCTCTCCTCCCAGTTCTCCAGGTGACCCTCGGCTTCTCAGGGTGCCCCAGCCCCACCCCGCAGACCCGGGCACACTGCTGTGAGTACCCCAATCCCATCCCCCCCACTCTAGAGGCAAGGACCGGGTACCAGCCGGGGGCAGCCAGCGGCGTCTCCAGCCTACCTGCGTTCCCTCCTGAGGCCTGAGCTGGCCGTGCTGCCCTGGAAACCGGCCTGGTGGGGAGAACGGGTCGGGGAGTGGGGTAAACACAGCAATTAGGGCCGCCCTCCAATCTGGCAATGAACTCGCTGGTAATTGAGCCTCCCCCAGCATCTGCCAGTGGGAAGCACTAGCGACCTTCACCTGCTCCTCCCTGGGCCGAGTCCCTGCAGGTGGCGGGTGGGGGTGGGGGGCTCCGGGTTGGGTTACAGAGCCCAGCTCTCTGCGCCCACAGGGGAGCCAGGGTCCTGAGCCACGTCCCACAGGCGGGAGCGCTGGGAGGAGCCGCGTGGACAGTGAGCACCTTCCTAGTAACTAGGAGCAGCCCAGGCACGCCCCTGCCCCCCCTCCCCACTGCCTTCCTGGGGTGATGCAACGGAGCCCCAGGGGCTGGCGGGGGGGGGGGGGCTGTTCTCCGAGGCTCAGGCTCCTCGGGGCCCATCCTGGCGCTGTGCGTGCAGCTGGTCCCGGAGCCGCTGTGGCTTCCCCGCTTCCTGAAGCCGCGGGTCACCCAGGGGCTGCAACCCCTTTGCTCCAACAGCCATGATACAGGAACGGGCTGAGCACAGAAGCTGAAATCAGTAAAATTTATTTAAAGATAAATAAATAAAACAGGGGTTTTTTTTCTAAAAGAGAAGAAACAGTATATGGTTAAGAACCTTCTCATGGAAAAGCCCGGCTCCACGGTGACCTGCAGCCAGCTCTGCGGCGAGTCCCTCACAACACAGACAGGAAGTTCTGAGCTAATTAATCCTTAGCTCGGACGGTGTTGGCAAACTGTGTGCAGCAGCACGGGGACAGGATACCGTGTCATGACCAGATGGGGTTCCCCAGGAACGGGAGGTTGGCTTAACAGGAGAAAATCAGTGTAATTCAACACAAGCACGAACTAAGAAAGAGAAACCACATGATCACCTCGAGAGACTTTTAAAAATCTTTTTATTCATTTCAAAGAGGAAGGGAGAGGGAATGAAAGATAGAAACATCAGTGGTGAGAGAGAACCATTGATCGGCTGCCTCCTGCACGCCCCCCACTGGGAATCGAGGCCAAAACCAGGCCTGTGCCCTGGACCCGAACCCAACCCGGGGCTTTAGTCTCAGGCTGAGGCTCTTTCCACGGAGCCAAACCAGCCAGGGCCCTCCATGGGTGTTTTTAAAAAGTATTTGAGAGTCAACAGCTGTTCCTGATTAAAAGCAAAAACAAACAAAAGCCCTCTCAGCCCTGAAGGAGGGGAGGGACCCTGCTCAGCCCAGGAAGGTGAGGATCCCAGGCCTCAGAGAGAGGCATGGGCGGGGCTTCAAGAGCCCCCTGCACAGCGCTGGCTGGTGGATCAGTGGTTAGAGCACCTGTCCCTGCCCTGAGGAGTCCCAGGTCCCGGGTTTGATTCCCAAAGGCACCTACTGGGTTGCAAGTTTGATCCTCAGCCCTGTTGGGAGCGGGAGGAGGCAACCAATCTATGTGCCTTTCTCTCATCAACGTTTCTCCCCCTCTCTCTCCCTCCCTCACTTTCACTCTCTCTCAAATCAATGGGAAAAATATCCTTGGGTGACAAAGGGTTACCAAAAAAACCCCCCACAAAACAAAAAGAAACTCCTGCACAGAAAGATAAAAGAACTTTATTGTTCATTTCAGGAGCTTTATGGCAAAAAAACAAACTTAAACACCAGGCTTTCAACAGATCCCACAAAGACGCCTCCTGTGTCCACCAACCCTGAACTACCCCCGGGACCCGAGTCCAGGCCTAACCAAGCCTGCTCCTCACTGACCACCACAACCGGCCCGGCCCGGCCTCTGCAGACTCAGTCCACCTGCACTCCGCAGCCTCTCGCCCCCGGCTTCTCTGGTGGCGTTTCGGGGAGCCTGGGCTCGACGGTGCTGAGAAGCCCGAGTGACCGATTTGTGGTGAATGGACAGATGGCGCTGGGGAGGTCCCGGGCGGGAGCAAGCCTCAGAAACAAATGACAGGAGGCCGGGACCACCGCGTCCCCGGGTCTCCAGAAGCAACCCAGGAGGTGGACGCGGCTCGGCTCCTGGACCCGGGAAGTCATTCTGCGGCACCTGGCAGGCGCAGAGCGAGAGCCGGGACGCAGACGGGACCGGAGTGCTCAGGCGTCCCAGGTCCGGCCCGGGTTCCTCCTGCTCACGTGAGCTTCACCTTCCCAGGCGTGACTTAGTTCTCAGGCGTGTTTATCGCCACCCTCAGTCACATCATTCCGAAAACCTGCTGCCGTCAGAGGCCAGCTCATCCTGGCCGCACACGCCCGTTTCTGGTGGACGGAAGCGTGGTGTCATTCCGAGGCCAGAGGCCTGAGGGGCATCCTGGAACCGAACCTCCCGCTGCCAAGGAGAGAAACCCAGCAGACGCTGAACGCCCACTAAGCAGCCACATCCACTCTCCCTCCTGACCCCATCCCTCTGCTCGGGGAGCCCCTCGTGCGGAAAGACGGGTGCTCTGTGGCTGCTGAAAACTCTGGACATTCCAGCTGGGGACGATGTCCTGAGACGGCAGCGAGAGGGGAGGAGAGCCCCCAGGACGCGGCCGGATGGGCAGCCCAGAGCCAAGGAGCGCGGGGCAGGGGGTGTGGGCAGCTGCCAGCTGTCCTGTGGCCCCCATGGTCTAGCACCATGGCCCTGCAGCTCCTGGCCCTGACGGCACCCACCTCTCACCCAGACGACCTCAGGGATGCTAGTGGAAACGTGGTGTCATTCTAAGCTGGATCTGGAGACAACACCAAGGCCTGCCAAAGCCTGAGGGGCATCCCTTTCATGAGCACAATGTGACTCACTGACAGGCTGTCACTTTTGTCCACCGTGGCTCAGAGGCCGAGCCTGAGACCACACATGTGGAAATTCCACCCACTTTGGTGCCCTGGTGGGACAAAGCCAGCCCAGGGGGCCAGTCCTGTCACCTTGACCCATGGTCTTGGGACTGATTGGGGTGCACGCCCAGCCCCCTCCCTCCCGGGAGTCCATGGGGTGGAGCTTGGGCGGGAAGAGGAACCAGTCCAACCAGCTTCACTAGCTCAGAGTAACCCAGTCACCCGTCTGCTCATAGTCCCGTGGACGTGGACGTGCGGCGAGACCTGCAGAGCCTGTGTAACAGTCGTGCACGGTGGTGGCCCCTCCCTGGTCCAGGCCAAGCCACAGGTCTCTGTTCAGTCGCCGGCCCAGGCACTGCTCTCCAAGTGGCCCTTGAGGAAAACTGGCTCCGCCCGGGATGCAGAAAGCAGCGCCTCTCTTAGGATGACACCCCCCGGGCACACCCAGTGCCCCTGCCTGCCTGCTTGCTCTGGGGGCCAACCCCACCCCCAGGGAAGGTATAACCAGGCTGGACACGAGAAGGGCAGTGGTCAATCTCACTGTCTTTTCTCCCAGAAGCTCCTTCCCCCGGGGCGCTCTGCATGCCCAAGGGAGGTTTGGCCAGGCACCGCGATATCCTGTTTCATCTGACCCCACAGAGGCTCAACATCACCCCCAATTCCGTCTTAGGGTTGACATCCGGAGCCCTACGCTGAGTGAACGTCCCTGCCCAGCTTGGCCGGGACCCGCGCGGGCCTCGCAGCCAAGCGTCCGAAGGGTCTGGGCTGGGAAGCCTCGGTTTTTGCAGGCGCCACTCGGAGACAGTGAGCGTCTCCGAGGCGCTCAGCAGCGAAATGGGTTAGTCCGCGCGCTCTCCCATCCACTCAGACAACGGCCTCCGCACATCGGCCACATGGCCCTGTGCTGTTACTTTCTCTAGTGGAGCCGAGAGGCGGCCGGCGCCAGCGTCGCTTCGGCCGCAGGCGGGAGCCTTCTATCCGCGCCCGAAACCGGGTCAGATCTGCTGTCAGCACTTCGCGGCCCGCTGCTGTCCTGCCGCCGCCGGGCTTTCCGGTCTCCTAGCAACGCCAAAGACCGTCCGCGCGCGAGGAATCCTGGGCAGTGTAGTTCTCCCCTCCACCTCCTTCCTCCCTAGCCCAGTACAGGGCCCGGAGGCTAGGACCAAGGCTCCCTAGACTACACTTCCCAGGTCGCTCCGTGCGCGCCTCACACGGCCTCGCGAGAATCCTGTAGCGGAACCCACCTGGCGAGAGTGGGCTCTTGCGAAGACCGCTGGGAAGTGTAGTTCGGGGCTGGTAGTCTCACGCCCTGGCACCCGGGCTGTGGCCGCGGTGAGACTACAAGTCCCAAGGTGCTCGGCGCGACCACCTGGAGGGCGGGGGGTACGAAAGCGGAACCCAAGGGGCGCCGGGGTGAGTGAAGGGACCTGCGGCCTCTTCCCCGGGGTTTCCGTGTTCATCGCCCGACCGCCCGGGCTTGGCCGAAACGTAGGTTTCGCCGTCGCAGCTGAGCGTCGTCGCCTGAGGGCGGAGTAGATGCTTTAGCTCCGACGTGATGGAGACCAGGTGGTTCGGGTACGGTTTTTACAGCATTTCAGGCAACAGCGTCTGGCAAATGCAGTTTCTGCCCGAAGCCGTTTGTGACCGAACCTGTAGCCGCCTCGTCCCATCGAATTCGCTTTTGTTCCGCGTGGTTCTCAGGGTCGCCGCCGCCCGGACGGCAGCCTTGGCCTGTCCTTGGGGGGTCGCCGCGGGTCCAGTGGGTCCCGCCGGCCTCGCTGTGCTCAGAAGCCGTAGGAGGAGCCAGAGCCGGGATTGCGCAGAAGCCCTTCCTGGCGGGCGCCCCCCACCTCGCCCCCTCCCCCACGAGTCCCTCCCGAAAGCAGAGCAAAGGGCCACCCGGCAGGTGGTCCCCAGTGGCCGGCCCACAGCCCCTCGCTCAGGGTCATCTGAGGACACGTGGTCACCGCGCACAGGTGCCTTTGATGGTCAGCACGCAGATCCCTGCGGGTGGACACCAGAGCGCTGGGCAGCGCGGGCTCCGCAGTCACAGGCCAAAACTTCAAAAAACCGTGTGCTGCCCTGGCCGGTGTGGCCCAGCGGATAGAGCATCGGCCGGACTGAGGGTCCGGGTTCGATTTTCAATCGGGCACCTGCTGCCTCCTGCACCACCCCTACTGGGGCTCGATCTCTCTCTTCCTCTCTGAAATCAATAACAAATATATTAAAAACACTATTGATTGGCTTTAGAGAGAGAGAGAGGAACGGAAAGAGAAACATCCATTTGCTCCACTTACGGGTTCACGGGTTGCCTCTTGTCTGTTCCCTGACCTGGAATCGAACCCGCAACCGTGGTGTACGGATGACGCTCTAACCAGCTGAGCTCCCCGGCCAGGGCCCGCACCTTCCCGCTCACGTCGTCAGCGCTGTGTTCTCTCAGCGAGTCGGGGGTTTAGGTGGAGAAGACGTGTTCGGGTTGCTTTGCGTGGCTTTTCACACTGGCTCCCTTTGCTGCTTTGCCGACCAGCCGAACCCGCACGGACAGTGACGTCCCGCGGGCCTTCACGTGTGCCCAGCAGTGGGAGAAACGGGTGCTGGGCCACGCGCCCCCCACGCCCCTTCCCGCCGCAGCGTCCGGAAGGCGGGGCGTGTAGGTGGGGCCCCCCTGCTCCGGGTGGACGCCCAGGAAAGCCTTCCTGTGGGGGAGCCTGTGCACATGGTCGTGGGGCCGGGACCAACTGACCAAAACCATCCCGGTCGGTTCCCCTTCCTCGTGGCCATGACCTGACGGCGGTTCTGAATTGAGACCAGCTTCCCTAAGGAATAAGAATTGGGAAGAACAAGTAGTTCCATTTAAATTCTCCCCGAGTTCCTCTTGACCTTGTAGGTGTCCTTTTACCAGCTATTTGGCTTCTTGGGTCCAAAATAGAAAATGACCTGCATTTATTCAGTGGTTTTGAGGTGTGGTGCCCCCACAGTGGCCGGCACAGGCAGGTCCGACCGGTTCTGACTCATGCGTCCGGCGGTGGCACTGTGCGCCGATGGTGCGAGGAAACACCCTGTGGTC